GTATGACTGATTTCATATTAGACACTGGAGCCACTTTTTTCCATGTTGAACACTGCCGAGTCCCTTTTAAGCCCTCACACAGTATCAGTAATGGGAACTACTAGGAAAAGTGGCTGATAAAAGATTCCTACAACCCGTCAGCAGTAAAATTGTTGTTGTTGTTGTTTGCCATCGAGTCGGCCCCGACTCATAGCGACCCCTCCTTGGGTTTCCGAGGCAGTATCACTACGGAAGTAGGAATGCCCAACCTTCCTTACGAGGAGTGGCTGGTGGGTTTGAACCGCCAGCCTTCTGGTTAGCAGCCAAGCGCCTTAGCCACTATGCTACCAGAGCTCCTGCAGTAAAATTAGGGAGGATTAATTTTTCCATGAACTCCTTTATGTTCCAGAATGCTCAGTTCCCCTATTGGGAAGAGGCTTACTTGATAAATTAGGACTACTACTTGAAGAAATCCATTCTGAAGGATTGGTGGGCTGAGTTCAGTACACGAAGGATAGACATATACTGGTACATGCAGTCTGGCCTGACTTGAGAGTAAAAGTATGTTATAGAAGGCTTGTGAACATGGAGAGAAGGAGTGGGGAGATGGAATCAGAATTGCGAAGAGGTCCTAATGGAACTGGTCTAGTGCCAGGAATGTTTGGACACAGAAAGGAAAAAAAATGAAAGTAACTCCTGTTTGAACCGGCCTCAGCATTAATGTCTGAGCCTGTGGCAATACCTACTGACCTGTCTATAAGAATTGTTGAAAAGAATGAATTCAAGTGTATGGGCTGAAGGCATTATGCTTTCTTTTGCATGCCACCCCACCCCGAGTGTCAACTTCTTTTTGCCTTTGAGTGGGTGGAACCAACTCCTAGTGTTAATATGGACACACCTCCACCAGGGAACTGACACTGAAAAGGGGAGTGTTGCTTCAGTGTATAAATAACATCCCTATATGGTGCCAGCACAGCTGAGGGGGACTCAGATGCCAACACTGTGCAGATCCTTTAATTTCCTCGTGGACTGTGAATATAAGTTTCCCAGGAGCAAGGCCCAGATCCCACAACTGCAAGAGACACATTTGGCCTACGTAATCTCCCAGGGAAAGAGGAACCTATCTGAGACAAAGATGACACCTATACTTGAAACATACTGACGAGTGACCTTTATGGTTTTACCAAGGGCACCTGGAAAACTTCAAGTTCCTCTTGACACTGGTTGACACCAACTCTGGATGGCCAGAGGCATTCTCTTGTAGGTCTGAACAGACTGTGGAATTGACTAATATTTTATTTTAAAAAATAATTCCCAGGTTTGGACTTTCTCTCAATCCAGAATGACAACGGACAGCTTTCGTCTCATAGGTGACTCTAGGAGTACATTCAGCTTCATCTGATGGGAATTTCATGTGACTTAATGGACCCAATCTTCAGGGAAAATAGAAAAGGAAAACTATGCTGTCAAAAGGAGCTCTGGTAGCATAATGCCTAAGGCAGTTGACGGCTAACCAGAAGGCTGGCGGTTCAAACCCACCAGCCACTCCTCGGAAGGAAGGTTGGGCAATCTACTTCCGTAGTGATACTGCCTTGGAAACCCAAGGAGGGGTCGCTATGAGTCTGGTCCAACTCGACGGCACATAACAACAACAACAACATGCTGTCAAAAAGGCTCAGGCCAAAATGTGTCATTATGAAATCAGGTATTGTCAATTGCTCTACTTAGGATATAAGTAGCCCCCCCCGCCCAAGCCGGCTCAAATTGAGCCCCTTCAAAATGATGTATAGGAGACCATTCCTGGGAAAAGGGGCGGGGAGCCACAGCCACTTATATCATGACAGAATCAAAGGGAAGGGAGTAAGTAAGGTCTTTAAAAATGTTTTTCAAATTACTCACTGATATGCTTTTGTGCAGTTGTTTTACCCCACTGACACCCCTTTACACAGGTTTCACCCAAGAGGCAGAGTCTTAGTGAATACGTGGAAGAATCAATCCCCCTTTCAGCCTGATTCTCTTTCAAAGCCCTAATCATTCCCCAGCCTGGGGAGACAGACATTTTGGACAAATGATTCTCACTGTCTCCGTAGGTATTGGTACTCAATAAGTCCTTTAACCTGTTGTGATCATTGGCTCTTCACTTTACAGGGGTAAGGACTTTGTTTCCCTACAACACTTTTGTCTCAGGGAAATCAGTAGAGTGCTGCTCCATTAGAAATTAAAACAAGAATGCTGACATAGTGTGAAAATTGTAGCCACTGTCACAGAACAATTTGTATAAAATTGTTAAATGTTACACCTAATTTGCTATGTAAACTTTTACCCAAAACACAATATTTTTAAAAAAATTTAAAACAAAGAAAATAAAAGATTTTATTGAAGGAATAATTGTATTTCATGAAATGGAGGCATATAACATCTTAATGAGAAAATGTAACATGTGTCTTTCTTTGGAGAAGAAAAGGTCAGTTTCTATTTGGTAAAGCAAAGGAAAAGTTTCACATCAAGAGAGACCTGTAGGGGAAGGGAGGAAAATCTACAAGAAGTTGTCAGTTCACAAATTTTCTTAACAAGGTTTCCTAGCGAAATATTAATTCCTTATTTCCTGATACAACTTGGCTAAAGCAATATTCCTAAAGTACACAGTGTGAATATTTTATGTGTGTGTGTGTTGGGAGGTGTTGTCTTGGGATTGAATGTAGTCAGATCAAGTCTGGTAGAAATCCTTGAAATGTAAAAAATTATTTATTTGGCTAAGAAGAAAATGTCAAACTCTAATCTGAAGCATTTGAAATGTAAAACATTGGTTACCTGGCTAAGGGAAGTGCAGATGGCTTAGACAATTCAGGGAGTAGTTATGATGATAGAAGTTTAACAAGTCTAAAGCATTCTTCATTTAGGTTAGAAATTCAAATTCTTGTCTTCTTTGTTATTCTAACAGTAACGCTTTGACAAGGAAAGAAGCCTGAATGGCTTTCTTTAGAAAGATGGAAATGAAAATTTTAATTTAAAATGAAATTTCAGCTTAGATCTGAAGTCACCCTATTCAGGTATGCCAGCAGCTCAATTTTCCTAAGGTTCATCACTACACTTTAAAAACTGTAAAGCTATTTGCTTTAGAAAACAAATGTTGTTGTTGTTATATGCCATCGAGTCAGCCCCGACTCATAGTGACCCCTCCTTGGGTTTCCGAGGCAGTATCACTACGGAAGTAGGATTGCCCAACCTTCCTTCCGAGGAGTGGCTGGTGGGTTTGAACCGCCAGCCTTCTGGTTAGCAGTCAAGTGCCTTAGCCACTATGCTACCAGAGTTTTTTAAGAATGTGTAGCATTGAAGTTAAAGCAGCTGGAAGTAAATGTGGCAAGTTTTACTTTGTCTCATCAGGGCCTTTTCATTCTCTCTGGCTCATGCCATCCCTTACTCATAATCACTTTTCTTCTGGATATATTAAAGGTTATGAAGTAGAGTAGAAATTCAAGTTTGAACTATTTCTACTAAAAGATGAAGTGCTCCTCTATTTTTCCTGTTTCATAAAAAAAAAAGTGCTTTTTCTTTGGTTTGGAGTGCTATTCTTTATATAACAAGAATCACATATAACAAGATCTGTCATATGGGGCAGATCAAGTCAGGGGATGTGTGTAAAGCTGGCAAACTAAGTACACAGCAATGTAGAATATCTTTGTGTCATGGGACTTCTGCCAGAAGAAATGAGAACCATGGAGAAAACAGGTAGGACTATAATGTTATGCTGCTGTTTCAATGGCTCACAGGACCCTGAAGCTACGGATAAAACCAAAAAACCCAAACTCACTGCCTTCGAGTCTATTCGACTCATAGCAACCCTTCCTTGGGTTTCCGAGGTGGAAACTCTACGAAGGAAGGTTGGGCGATCCACTTCTGCAGTGATACTGCCTCAGAAACCCAAGGAGGGGTCGCTGAGTCGGATCCGACTCAACGGTATGTAACAACAACAATCTCTACAAAAGTAGATTGCCCAATCTTCCTTCTGAGGAGTGGCTGGTGGGTTTGAACTGCAGGCCTTCTGGTTAGCAGTCAAATGCCTTAGGCACTACGCTACCAGGGATAGGAATTGGTAATGTTCCTACAGACGGATAAACTGTTATGTCAATCCCAGGTAATACCTAGATGTAGATCTTGAGCTAAAGATGCACTGACAGTAGATATTTTTTCCCTAAGGGGAAAGGTAGGAGCTCTGGTAGTGCAGTGCCTAAGGCACTTGACTGCTAACCAGAAGGCCGGCAGTTCAAACCCAGCAGCTACTCCTCAGAAGGAAGGTTGGGCAATCTACTTCCTCAGCGATACTACCTTGGAAACCCAAGTTGGGGTCACTATGAGTTGGGTCCAACTCAACAGCACATAACAACGAGGGAAAGATAGTCTGCTTTTGCTCTAACACTGGGCTAGAGAAGTAGTTAGAAAAACTAAATTGGTGAATTCATCCCAAATATCCACCTCTCAGGATATTTTCTCAAATGCCAGCTATTCCATTGCACTTCCCAAAGGGGAGAACTCAATAGACACTGTCAAAAGCAAACCTGCAAAAGGAAAGAGAGCATGTCTGAGGCGGGAACCATTGTGGTGTATCGGTGTTGCCGAGGTTTCTGGCCTGAGACTTCTGATGTGGGGAGATTGCTTTCAGATAAATACTACTTTCTTCAAGCCAGCAGTTTTCCTGGAAGGAGGTAATGTGTAATATATCAAAAATTTGCTGGACTATGAGGTCACATGTCTTGTTTGGGCAGCAGCTCCCCCACTAGTGGTTGATTTGGCTATAGGTGTAGTTTAGGACTCAACACAGCAAACAAAACAAAAATTCTCCAATATTGTGGCTTTCAGCATGAAAACATCCCTAGAAGTACAAAGTTACCTGTGTGGTCCTTACTGGTGCCTCATTTAGGTTAGAAAAGGAATCTGTTAACGGTGTTAAAGCAATTTGGAAGGTCTTCTTCCTCCGATTATGTATTATTCATAAATATAAAGATCACTGCATTCGAGAGGTTCTATCTTCCAAATGCTTTCTTAAATGCCTCCTTTACATCCTTGTTCCTCAGGCTATAAATGAACGGGTTCATCATGGATGTTATGACTGAGTAGAACACGGAGATCACTTTATCCCCCTCCTTCATGTTTTTGGTGTTTGGCCTCATGTAGGTAAATATTGTTGATCCATAGTAGAAGACAACGACAATGAGATGGGAGCCACAAGTAGAGAAGACCTTGAGCCTCCTGTCCCCTGAATGCATCTGCATCACAGTGGAGAGAATATTCCAGTAGGAGATAAGGATGAGGGAGACAAGAGCCAGGAGGATAACCACACCCATTGAAAAGAGAGCCATCTCAGCTTTGTACGTGTCTGCAGAAGCCAGCTGCAGGAGTGCTGGAGGTTCACAAAAATAATGATTGATCACATTCTGTCCCTGGTATGGTAGACATAAAGTAAACATGGTATCTACCACAGAGACAAGTGCCCCACTGGCCCAAGACACTATGGCCAGCTGCATACAAACCCTCTGGGTCATGATGATGGAATAGTGCAGGGGCTTGCAGACAGCCACATAGCGGTCATAGGACATCACTGCTAGAAGTGAACTCTCTGTAGCCCCAGCTACCAAGAAAGAAAACATCTGAATTGAGCACCCAGCAAAGGAAATGGTCTTTTGCATTACCAGGAAATGGAGCAGCATCTGAGGAACAATGCTAGTAGAGAAACAGAGGTCAGCAAAAGACAGGTTTTTAAGGAAAAAGTACATAGGTGTGTGAAGTCGGGAATCGACATTGATTAGGACTATGATGAGCAGATTCCCAAACGTTGTCAGGAGGTAAATGATGAGAAATGCCACAAAGAGCAGGATCTGAGTCTGCTGATCTGAAGAAAGGCCCAGCAAGATGAATTCAGTCAAAAAGGTCTGGTTTGCTTTGCCCATTAATGCTTATTCCTGCCTCAGTATTGACAGAGCAAACAAATGATGACTGTGATCCAGCATCAAATTCTGAAAGTGAAGATTTCAGGAAGATTTGTTTTCGGTAAAAAACAAAACAAAACAAAACACAAAAACCTGCAATCATTTAAGAAACTTGATTTTCTAGAATTTCCTTAGGTTCCCAATGAAGCCATCCGACTGGTAGACATAGCAATGCCAGACAGATGCTGTCATAGAGATCCTGTTTTCACAATGATATCAACCTTAGATCTATCATTCAGCAATTATATGGATAAGGCAAGAAATATCTTCATGTTGTCTACCTAAACTGAAGCAGGATGTTGACATATTAAATAGACTAGGAAAAAAAAAGCAATTCTTCTTTTTACTAGAAAGCTCTTTTTTTTTCCCCTAATGTACTTTTTAGACAGCAGACTTTAGCTTTCATATCATTAAAAAGCAGAGACTTTTCCATTGTGTTTCAAAGTGATTCTTCATCATCCTTCCAAGAAAGGAAGGGAATTTTAAGAGACCATTTCAGACCATGTTGTGATTCACAGTACTGGTCCTTTCCCAAATTCTTCACTGGATTAGAGAGTCAAGACTTCGTGGAAGTGTTCAAGAGTAAGGCATGATAGGACCTCATCATCATGGAGCCACCTGGGTGTGGAAGAGGCTGGACTCCTGCAACACTGTACACTATGGTTGGAGGGGCTCTTCATGGTGACCTAAAGCAGCCATAACAGCTTTCTGGAGAGTTGCAATGTCCTATGTGGTATAACAATGTTTGACCTCATTTATGCTATAGCTTGTACCAGAATATGCAACCAATTGAATGGGTACATCTGTGGTAAATCTAAACATTTTTCCGATTCTCTGAAGTCAGGCAGGAAACACCATTCAAAGCCTACACATTGCTGTACATCAGCAAAATGCACGGAATAAGGTGAGTGGATGGAATCTAATGGTAAAGTAGATTAGAAAGAGTTACGGAGGATAGCAAAACCATAGGCAAATGGTTGCAGTTCAGGGCTGGAGCCTAATATCCCTGGAAAGAATTGAAGTACTAATCCTAGAATTGCTGGTTAGAACAAAAGAAGGGAATCATGGTAGAAACTCAGCTCTTTTGGCAGGGCCACCTTGGGATGGGGGAAGTCAAAGACTGTCAACATATAGAGATTTCTTCTCTCATATAAATCTCTATGTTTAAGACAGCAGCATAGGAAAAAATTGAATAGAGCAATTGTATCTGAACCACCAATTATGACTTGATTTCAAGATGCTGGGTGAGACTGAGGTTCGATGTATGTATTTCCATTCATACTGGATCTGAAACTGGATCCAGTCTGAGCCTGCAAGAATGTCCATTTTCTTTGAGGGATCAGGAAGTCAGAGCCAGGGAACATTTTGAGAAACTAGTGTTATCAAAGGGGAAAGTTCTTTCCATGTGTAGAGAATAAACACAAGTAAAAAAAAAAGTCTGTGGCATCAATAGCCGGAATGATCTCATCTTACAGGTCAGTGCTTTTAAAACTGAGTTATAACACATTAATGGGTGGTGAAGTGGATTTAGTGGGTTGGTCACTAGTATTTTTAAAAACTGAAATAGAAAAGAAGATATAAAATAGTTTTACAAGAAAATATTTGTTTCAATTTTATGTACACATGTGTGTGTGTATGTGTTTGCATGTGTGTGCTGAGTTACAATGTAATTGTATTTCTTATTGAAGGCCATTGTCAAAAACTTGAAAAAGAATACCTATATTAGTCAAAAGTTATTTATGTCCAAGGGTATCAATAAAATAATCTGTTACTGACCCCATTTTCCAGAAATTATTATTTGCATGTTTCCACTGCTTTATTATGGAAATTTTAATGCGATGAACTGTGCATACTTCATGTGTACAATTTGATGAGTTTTGGCATATGTATATGTGATTTTAAAAACACTTATTAAATTACATATGGTTATTTGTTTACAATCCTGTCTCTCTGATGAGGTTATGTATTTCTTCAGGGTAATAACCCTATCTCACTCAATACATCTGTGTTGTTGTTGTTAGCTGCCATAGAGTTATTTCTGACTCATGGTGACCCTGGTCTCTCCTGGGCATATAAAAATTTTTCAAGGAATGTTTACTGGTTGACTGACCAATGACTGACTGACTGAATGAATGAAGAATGCATGCAAGAATGAATGTACTTCATACACACACAAGTGCTATCATACATATGCATGCAAACTCTCCTAAGAACTAATCATCCACTCTAAAGCATAGTAGGAAAGTTGGAAGGCACAGCTGATACTGGACTGTTTAGATGATCTCCTTGGAATGGGTAGATTCCATGACGAAGCAGAAGGAAAAACACAAGATGGGTGTGATCGCCTGGGCTACTAGCCAGAGGAGTGGAAGTTCTTTTGGTGGGAAGAGGTCCTCAATTTGCAACCCCTTTCTCTTTCTCATTCTGAGACCCAGAGAGAGCGTTCCTAATCTGGTAACAACCAGAATACCAGGGACTGGAGCAGGCAAGTACCCATACCCCAACATTATCACTCATCCGGCTCTGGCTCCTTCTCATCTCCCGTGCAAGATGACAAATTGAAAAAAGCTCTGTCTTACATCTCAGACAATCTCCCGTGAGTCAGGTGGGTATTAGCAAGAGGAGGGTGAAGTAAACGTGAAAGAGGAAGAGAGCCCAAAAAGTGAAAGGGCTGGAAGATCAAAGAACAGGGGAGATTCTGGTAGTTGAAAATGGGTAACTAGTTTGAGTGACAGTTGTCTTTTTGGTTTCTCAGGAGCTCTCAGCATACACTACATTTTCATCCCCCCAGGAAACGCCTACGTTTTCTAAGGCTGAGGTTTATGGAGAAGAAGGGACAAATGAAAATCTCTTCTCCCAAGTAGACTGTGAGATGTATAAATGAGGCCATGGTCCTTCTTCTAGGATAGATTCAGGACTTCTGGCTTAGGGGAGACTTGATCCTTTCAGCATCTCCCTCTTTCTTACCTGGAGGTCTGGAATGAGTATGTCCAAGAGATGAGAGACTGCAAGTAAGGAGAAATCACATTGAGTAGAGTTGAGCAAGATCCAGAGATACAAGATGCAGATCCAGAGTATGGGACTAGGGCTCACTGATCCTCAACCTTCTCTCTTGAGAATTGGGCTTTGCAGTAGATTCCATCTCAAACTCTTGAGGTTTTCTTGGCTTAAAAAAAGTAAGTAGACACTTACTTTTTAAGTACCAATCCTGAACTGAAGCTTTTCCAGAGAGGGAGTCTTAAAAGGTGAGGCCCTCAGAGATGAAGTAAACAAGACATTCCCTGGGGTTCTCCTTAGAAACAGTTCACTTTATTACTGTACCTTTACACACAATGAGATGCCTTGGGACATTTTATAATTTTTTTTTGGTAATGATTGAATTCCATGAATCTGATTTCTAATCCTTCCCTAAACAAAGAAAAAAAATTGTAGGCTCTGGGCCAAGAAGCCATCCATATCTGTCCTTTCTTTCATGCACTGTAAAGTGCATGCAGACAATTATTAGTTTAAATCCTCAAAAAAATAGGAACTTGTATCCTCCTTCTATTTCTCTATTAAAATTGAATTAAAATGGTTGTTTATTTGAGGATGCAGTGACATCTGTTAAAACAATGTTAGCTTGTCATAAATAATGACAATCAGAAAATTTCTGTAAAAATCAAATATTTGAATCATGTGCCTCATACAGGAAGAGATTCATATTTTTCTGGACAATGCTGGATTGAAATTATTCAGTGTTTCATTTCTCGCATCAATTTTTTTTTCTGTTTATTTTTCTTTTTTCAAATCAGTTTACCATGAATATATTTTCAAGCTGTCATTATACTAAGAAAAGTTTATGTTTATCTTTTGATGTTTTATATTTAATAGAATTCAAAGAATTTCAAGTTCTAATTAATTAATGATCTTGAATTTATCCCTCCTGAATTTAGAGATCATCTAAAGAATAGATTTGATGCATTGAACACCAATGACCGAAAGCCAGATGAATTATGGGAAGATACCAAGAAC